TTGGCACTGAAGATATTACCTAGCTGGGTAATGAAATGTTTGCAAGAAAAGAACCAAGCTCAGAGAACCCCAAGGACTCCACAGGTCTGGGAGTGTCACACAACTTAAAGGCTGCCATGTTAATATATCTTCTGAAAGGCATCTGTATTCTTTTGCCAAAAGTGTATTAGATGTTATGGTACACATTGTAACGAGAAAGACAGATTGTCCTTTAACAATACACTTTGGCAAAGAAACCCACCTCATGGAAGAAATGATAATTCCATTTGTGCCCTTAAGATATGGTCAGCATTTGCTGTATCATTTTACATATCATGCCATCTTTGGCACAAGGATGGGGAAATTAATGCTACCAGAAGGGAGAAAATAGAAGTATGCAGTACAGGGATACAGGCAGCCTATACCAGTGGAAAGTTATATTTGGATCCATCTCGCAGGTAAGCAGTGATCTTATTGGGCAAATTTTAAAAAATGCAAACAGCTGAATACAGCTGAGTACAGGTAGTCCTTGCTTAAGAACCACAATTGGGACCAGAATCTTGATTGTTGAGTGAAGTGGTCATTAAGCAAGATGCCCATATGACTGCTTTGCTGAACGACCACAATCTGGGCACTCCTGGTTGCGGTCATTAAGCAATCTCCTGGGTTGTTAAGCAGGTGGAATGAAAGAGCTGCCTCCTGAAGGATTTCAGACCACCAAGCAGAGGGTTTACCCTCCTTTCCATGCATGGAGGGGAAATCCTTTGTGAGGCTGGAGGAATGGAGCTCAAATCTTCAGGATTTGAGCTCCGTTCCTGAAGACCGCAGAAGGATTTTAGCTCCCCTCCATCCCCTCTGCTTGCAACCTTCCCCACTGACTTGAAGAGTGTAAAGTGATTATAAGATAAAGAAAAATAACTATTACAGATCTGATATAAATGGTATGTCTCTTATGTAATAACTGGAATAATCACAATAACTTGGAAATTTGAAATAAAATCATCCTCAGCAAAATGCAAGTTGGCAGGTGCTATCAAGAGACATCTAGCTGTCTGAGAACATACCCTTAGAAAGTGCTGTAAACATTCCAGGGTTGGGAGACAGAACTATTCATGCTCTTTGGTGATTTTCTTCCCTACGTTTTTGGATATGTAAAAATCTTGGCCTGGATAGAAAGAATACAAATCACAACATTAAGTCTTACTAAAAAGATTACAGAAGTTAAAATGAGAGTTTTGTGGCATGATAAAGACTAGCACATTTTACAGTATAAGCTTTCTTGGAATTTATCAGATGTTGAAAGTTTTATAATCCCTTAATAATGAAGAGTTCAGTTTCAATTCCTTAGGTAAGTAAGGGCCTGTTTGTGTCTGGATATAAAGATGTTAATTAATTTCTTCATGACATGAATTCATTTCCAAGCTATTTTTACCTTTCACAAGGTCATTTTACCACCTCAGGTGTGCTATGAAAGGAATAAGGTATTTGGCTGAACTTCTGCACAATATACCAGTAAGCTGAAATACGTTCAACATTGTTTCACTATATTCTATGCAGAAGGCGGCATCTCTTTTCAGTTTTTCTATGCTTCTGTTGAACTACTTTGATGAACAATATTTATGTACTTGACTTTTGTAATTTTGGCTTCATAGCGTATTGTTGTGGGCTGCCTAGAGAACTTGGTACAAGAGTTCGATAAGAAACTTGCAGCATAAATAAATAAGAAAAATGAAAATCTAGGAATCATCCACATCTTACTTTCCACAGAAGTCCTTGTGGGTAGCAGACACAAAGAGGAACAAATCAGGATGACTAGACAGCCAATTTGTTACCATTTCAGGGTGCCTGGGGTCAACTTCCAAATACACGCTCCTGAAAGAAGAAGAAAAAAGAGCCATCTTGATTAAAACTTGCTTAAATCAAAAATATATAAATTAGCATGCTATGAATTGGGTTCAGTGGATCTTTGCAAATATAAACATGTACTGAGGAGGTTTCTGCAGTGATTCAAAGACACTAAACTTCCAATTCAACCATATTTGCTGCTTGCTTTTGACAGCTTTTTGGTTTCATTATAAGCATGAGTTAAATCAGTGTTGTCCAAACTTGGCCACTTTAAGATGAGTGGATGTCAACTCCCAGAATTCCCCAGCCAGCCATGCTGGCTGGGGAATTCTGGGAGTTGAAGTCCACTCATCTTAAAGTGGCCAAGTTTGGACAACACTGAGTTAAATGAAGAACTGGGTAAATGCTGATGGAAGCATATCTCCCAGAATAGATACTAGGTTATGAGAAATAAGTCTCCCAGATCATCATGTAGAAGATCCCACATTCTTGTAGAGAAAGGTCCAACTAATGCAGCCTGTGAAATCCATTGTTATTAATCTCTTTCTTTTGTCTAA